TTTTACATGACTATTAATGTTGGTAATTTAGTCCTACCAATAAATTTTTAAATGTACCATTGGACGCTACATCGAGGCTATTGACACCGACAGTGAAGATGAGAGAATTCTGGAGTTTTTTCTTTTCTTGTGGATCATCATCGTTGTTAGCGCAATGGAGAGATGCGGTTTGCATCATTAAGGTTAGCCATTAATTATCTTTTATGGTTATTATATTGATAATTAGTGCTACAGTTACAGTCAACTGCTAATTTGGACTAGTCACATATTTTATCTTTAGAAAAATAGGAACATTTAATAGGTGCAGAGCCATACTTTAGTTTGTTGTTATTATTAATGTTAATAGTGATTATAATGTTACTTATTGCTATTAATAATTAATTAGTGACAACATTAATATTTTATGGTATTTAGTTATGCATCTGAACTGTTTCTAAATAAATTTATGTGACAATATTCCAGTTAAGGAAATAGTTTTCTTGACATTAATGTTTGTCGGACTTCAAATTTTATTAAGTTTTCAAAATTTAATCCGAAAACATTTATAAATGTTAGCGGTTTTAACCATTGTTTTTCCATATTTAGTCTTTTATTTAATGTGATAATATTATTATGGCTATTTATTGCTATTTTGGTTATTTGCAATTTTGTCATTCATAATAATAATATTATTATCTGGGTTACGGAGAGTGATTTTGAATCAATTTAGTAATTTTGGAAAAACATGTTTTCTAGGCATTTGACTATTGCCATTAACTCCATAATTCATTTAGGTCTTTGAATTATGATTGCCCATATTTGGTTAAGTATGAATAGATGAATATTTGATTTAAATTCATATTTTTTAGTTGGTTCATACTCTTTAGATTGTTTTATGCATTCGATCACATTAAGTGCAAAATATTAAGTTTAATTATGTAATTAGGATTTATGAGATTTTAATTTACAAATGCTAGCATATCCTTTTGGTTTGATATTGTTTGAATTTGTAAATTCAATTATTTCTCATAAATTTGATCTTTATGCATTAAAACATTTTTCCATGGGCTTACAGTTTAAAAAATTTTAAAGTACATTCAGTACATTATTATTCAAAATGTTGGGTCCCTTTTTGGTTTGGACTCATTGTGTTTGAATATTAAGTTTATACTTTGAAATCTCATATAGTAAATTGCTTTAAGTTATGCAAATTATTTGGAATATATGAGTTTAATGTTTAATTTTATGCATATTTGTCCTAAGCATAATATTTTGTTTTAAATTATGCAATTTTATTATGGCTTTAGCAATGCATACTTTGAGATGGAATTATATTAGTTCCTATTTAAGTTGGACTTACGCATAAACTTTAGTTAACGGAATATTCTGTTACTAAAGTTTATACTAACGGAATTTAGGTTATTTAAGGGAAGAAAATAATATAATAGAGGATAAATAAGGAAAATCATTAAAAAAAATACTAAAATCAAAATAATATGATCATTCATTTTAAAAAACAATAGGGCCGACATTTTTAATTTTTTCAGTTAAGGGCCTAACATTATTGGCTCTTATTAGAATTGTAGATGTAGACAATAGGACCGACATTTTTTTTCCCAGTTAAGGGCCTAACACTATTGGCTCTTATTAGAATTGTAGATGTAGATGTAGATGTAGAAATAATAATTTTGTAGCTACAACAAATAATAATAATACATATGCATTTCTTTAATTTAGAATTATGTGTCTACAATGTCTTTATTCAAAAAAAAAAATATTTATTATCAATAAATTAAATAAGAGAAATAATTTATATTATAAAAAAAAAGAGAGAAATAATTTCATTAGTTAATTATATTGTCTTTATTTTTCTCCAATATAAAAATTCTTTACATTCAAATTTGTCAATTGATTATATTTGCTACATTGTCCCTACAATGTCTTTATTCAAAAAAAAAATATTCATTATCAATAAATCAATTAAGAGAATTAATTTCATTAGTTATATTGTCTTTATTTTTCTCCAATGTAAAAATTCTTTACATTCAAATTCATCAATTGATTATATTCACTACATTGTCTATTATCTTTTTTGTGCACTATTTTTTAATTAAATATCAAAGTTATTATACAAAATAATGCTATATATATTTATGAGTTTTTTCCCAAAATGGTCCCTCGACTATCGCTCATTCTCAATTTTGCATTTCGACTTTTAATTGCACCCAATGTGGTCCCTTGACTTTTAAAAACTCCCCCAAATTGGTCCTCCGTTAGAAATTTCGTCTATTGAGTGTTAAAATGAAGGGCATTTTTGTCCGTTTACCTATTATATGCCTAATATACTCTGAAAAATAGTTGAGGGACCATTTTGGGAATAGTCGAGGGACCATTTTGGGAAAAATTCATTTATTTATTTTCATTTTTTAAGACTATCATATTAGAATTTCTATAGATTTTTTTTCTTACAAATATAAATAGATTTTAAACTTTCTCTACAATTTTTCCTTCTGTCTAAACATACAAATTTTTCCTCTATCCCTATCAAGTTTTACATTAAGTTTCGTACTTTGGTAAACAAGTTTAACTTTCAAATTTAAGTTTATTAATATTCATATATAAAATACAAACAAACTTCAAAATGACAAGAACTTGTAATATTGAAAAATGATGAGGCTTTAGGTTTAGAATTGCTTGTTTTGTGCTAATTATTTTTGCATTTGGTTTATTTTACTTGTCCTTTAACACATAAAATTGATAGCCATTAGTTTCATTCCAAAGTTAGTACAAATCATAACTACCATTTCCAAATTCCTATCTACCAAAAATGATGAGGCTTTATTAATATTCATATATAAAATACAAACAAACTTCAAAATGACAAGAACTTGTAATATTGAAAAATGATGAGGCTTTAGGTTTAGAATTGCTTGTTTTGTGCTAATTATTTTTGCATTTGGTTTATTTTACTTGTCCTTTAACACATAAAATTGATAGCCATAGTTGTAGACTCTCTTTAGCATGATGTACTTCTTGGTAGATAGGAATTTGGAAATGGTAGTTATGATTTGTACTAACTTTGGAATGAAACTAATGGCCTTGCAAGTTAAGTTAAGCCAACTTTTAAAAAATATTTTCTAAATATTTTCCCAAAATGATTCCTCGACTATTCCCAAAATGGTCCCTCGACTATTTTTCAGAGTATATTAGGCATATAATAGGTAAACGGACGAAAATGCCCTTCATTTTAACACTCAATAGACGGAATTTCTAACAGAGGACCGATTTGGGGGAGTTTTTAAAAGTCAATGGACCACATTGGGTGCAATTAAAAGTCGAAATGCAAAATTGAGAATGAGCGATAGTCAAGGGACCATTTTGGGAAAAAACTCATATATTTATTTACCAAGTATTTTATTAATACCATGAAAAAATTAAAAAAAAATATAATTAATAAATCCAATCATATTAACTAGTTGAGGGATTTGTTAACAAAAAGAGTATTCAAAACACACAACAAATTGAAGTGGGAAATTAACTCGCAATAATGTCCTTGTTTGACAACTAGCGGTTAGCGTTAGCGGATTTTACCAGCGAAGTATATCAACGGTTGGTAAAAAGATATTTGAAAAAATTAGTGATTTAGATTAACATGTAAAATGACCTAAAGGTATACATATATTTCATAATAATAACAATAACAACAACAACAACAACAACAACAACAACAACAACAATAATAATAATAATAATAATAATAATAGTTTTAAAAATATAATTCTCAAACAACGTGCTCAGAATTTAGTAGCTACAATAAAAAAATAATACATATACATTTAATTAACTTAAAATTATAGTTAAACACATTGTGTTCAGATGACACCTTTGTGGCTATGCTTGAGGGAAGGTTATAGGATCGAACTCTAATGAGGGAAAGTCACAAGATCAAACTCTGATGGTGGGGTATTCACTCTTTGGGCTACAATACGTTAAAGAATTGTTTTTATTCAAAAATAATTATTCATTATAAAAAAAATTAAAAAGAGATATAATTTTATTAGTTATATTATCTTTATTTTCTACAATTCAAAGATTCATTACCTTCAAATTCATTAATTAATATATTCACTACATTGTCCATTAGTTATATTATCTTTATTTTCTACAATTCAAAGATTCATTACCTTCAAATTCATTAACATTGTCTTCCTTTTACACTATTTTGTAATTAAATATCAAACTTATAATACCAAATATGTTATATATTTATTTACCAAGTATTTATACAAATATAATAAATATTAATATTTTGTTCAATACTTCCACACGATAATCTACGACACACATCTCACAACACATGAAACATGTAGAGAAAAACTACCACGGTCAAATATCAACAGGCGCTTGCAAGATAAAGAGTTCATAGGACCAACTAAGATCTCAATCATATACTATACACGGCAAGGCAAATATAAAACTTCCTACACCATAATCTCATTGCATAATGTTGCCCTCTATGCTACCCCAAGTAACCTAATTGCACATGACACACTACCAATAAAAAAGAAGAGAACAAGTACAATGACAATGCTACTCAAAAGATAATTAAGAAGACTTAGAAAAATTTAAACCAAAAGTAATATTTATTTAGACTATCATTTTTAAACTAAGTATTTTGACTAACGTTATTACAAAGTTACAAACATGCATTTATTTTAATTTAGTGACAATAATAATCAATCTCTCATATTATCTTGCATTTATATACTTTGAATTACTGATTTAAATAAACAAACTCAACATTCAATTACCTATCCATAGACGACGTCTCCTATATAATCTTGCATTGATATATTTTGAAGTATATATATATATATATATATATAGGGACTTATATTATGCATCTACGTAATAAATGTATAGTACATACATGTTCTTAGCCAAAACAGATAGGACGAAGCCACCATCTCAAAGGATATATAATAAGGGTGTACTCTTAGCTCTCTCACTTGCACACACTTATTACATAGATAGATATATATATAGAGAGAGAGAGAGATATGATGGGCAGGTGCGTGGAGAGAGCTTTGCCCGTTGTGGTAATGGTGTTGGTCGTATTAACACAAGTGATCAATTTGATAGTAAGCAAAATGGCAATGTCAAGGGGCCTCAACTTCTTTATCCTTGTTCTCTATGCCGATCTTCTATCCACCCTCATCTCTCTCCCTTTTGCTTTCATCTTCTCCAGGTATATATATATATTATGTAATTAAGAACTGGTTTTTACTTCTTTTTTTTTTTTTTTTCTAAAATTTCTTTTGAAAATTTTGTAAATTAATTTTGGTAGGTCAAACAACTGTCCGGTGACCTTTGCTGTCCTCTGCAAAATCTTCCTGCTCGCTTTAGTTGGGTTAGTATTAGTATGTACAAAGAATTATAGGTGTTGTTATATTAATATAATTATATATATAATATATAACTATAACTATAATTATATATATTTATAAATATAATTACAATTATTAGTATTATTTCAGGTGCGTTGTGCAGATTTGTGAATATGCGGGTACAAACTACGGCTCCCCAACACTAGCTACAGCGATGATGAACCTCATTCCAGGCTTTACATTCGTGCTTGCTCTTATACTAAGGTTCTCTCATCTTCTTATTTTTATATTTTATAGTTTACTTACATAAAAGATCACTTTTAATTGATTAATTACAAATTTAATTTAGGTTAACTTTCTTTAAATTCTCAAGTAATGACTGAGAATTTCTCTAAATGAAAATGTAATCAAATTGGATAGGAGTAATTAAGGACGTTGATGGTATTGTGGAATTTTTTGACGACTCGACGGTATTGACAAAAAAAAAAAAGATGGATTGTACTACTACTTGGTGACTTTTCAGAAGGAAAAAACCCTACATATGGGCGGTCAATTAATTAATTAATTAATTCATTAATTTCACTATACACTCAAATAATATACTTTCGGGAAAAGTAAATTATTTGAATACTGAAAGTACATTATTTTATATAATGTACATTCAGTACATGTTTAATATATTTAAAATGTACTTCTTTTGTTATATATGTTCCAACAGCACTGTGTGGACCATGGTCCACACAATAATTTACCATAGTGGAGTGAAGACAGTTATTTCAAATTAAGTACATTCTAACTTCTAATATAACTATATTCTTTACTAAAAAAAAAAAAAAAAAAAAAAAAAAAAAAAAAAAAAAAAAAAAAAACTATATTCATATTTTATCATCTTAACTATAATAAAGCTATATGGTTTGGGTAGTAATTATATTAATGTTACAATTATTATTTTGGTGAGTAATTATTGTTATAATTATTGTCTCTATCCTTATTAATATAAAATAGCCACAACATCCTTTACTTTAAAAAAAAATTGAAAAATAAAATAGCTATATTTTTCTCGCCCATAACAAAGGATTACATTTATTGAATTAATGGAGTTATTAAATGTTATGATATTATGATTAAGGATTCCGATTCTCGATTAATAGAAAATATGAAACGATGCAATATTAATTAAATCTTTGGCTTTACAATGAAAGTCTATTTGATATGCTTTTGTTATTTATGGTGCTTCTTGGGATTACAATATTAATTAAATTTTCGATGAAAGCCTATTCGATATCTGAAACAGTGCAATTAATGCAAGCCTCTACATATAATTTTTCTCCATCTCAAATGCTTCAAAGAAATGGCAGAAGCGAGAAGGGATGAAGAAAGCAAATGTTGCGGGCCGTGGGTCAATTATTGGACTTCAAAATTAAAAAAATAATAATTCATTTGAGCCATAAATAAAAATTTAAATATATATAAATGTATATATCGTATGGGTCTTTAATGTTTTTCTGGATTTCTAAACTTAGAACTTTTAAAAGAAAAAAAATACATTTGAATTATCTCCACAAAAAGTGGTCTTGTGCTTATAGAATGACATTTAGGTTTATGGAATGACATGTGCATAAAGAATATATTATATAATCATATAAAAAAATGTGTTCAATTAGAGTTTAAATTTACTCATACAAAATTTGAAACTTGCTTTCTAAATGTAATTATCTTAGTTATTATTCGTATTGTGAAAATTATAATATATATGAAATACAATTAAGAATAAATCAATGTAATTATGTAAATTCTCTCTATAAGTTTATTTGAATATGTACATATATAATTAGAGATTATATTAACCATACAAAATTTTAATTTTAATTTTAATTGTAATTTTGTATTCTATAAAAATAATAAATACTTGACCAATGGAAGCTCAAAAATATTATTATAGTAAACAATTTAAAATATTTTTATTTTTTCTATTTTTTTATTTATATTTATAATAACATAATTTTTCCCCAAACATCGTGCGGGTGAATTACTAGTATAATATATAATATAATTAAAAATAAAATAAAAACAAACAAAATAATTTAAGTGAAGTGACAAGACAAGATATAACTTGTCTCCTAGTCCTACGTACTACATACATTAATTCTATGTTTTTTCATCTACCAACTACTTTTTTTTTTAATGAAATGTTGTAGAGTGAGCAGTAACTAGAATTGTCAATTCATGTTGGTAAGGATGAGCAGGCCAAAACTCACTATCCGACGGACTGAGCCTTTAAGACCGGCAAATTATGTTGTGCATCCGATGGTGCATACGAATGCAAAAACGACGTCGTTTTATTAAAAATGTGCGTCTCACTTTAAAAAAAAAAAAAAAAAAATCAGTTTCGATTCCCAGCAACAATATTATATTGTGCATAATTTGAACTATATATCCAGAATCAATGAACTAAAAATCCAGAATTGATGAACTAAAAATCCAGAATCTATGAACTAAAAATACAGAATGAATGAACTAAAAATCCATAATGAATGAACTAAATATCCATAATGAATGAACTAAATATCCAGCATGAATGAAAAAAAAAATTAGTTTCGATTCACGTCTAAATATCCATAATCAATGAACTAAAATTCCAGAATCAATGAACTAAAAATCCAGAATCAATGAACGAACTAAAAATTCAGAATCAATGAACTAAAAATTCAGAATCTATGAACTAAAATTCCAGAATCTATGAACTAAAATTCCAGAATGAATGAACAACATAATGCTGTTGAGGGGAATCGAAACTGAATTTTTTTTTAAGTGGGATGCGCGTTTTTAATAAAACGACGTCGGTTTTGCATCCGTATGCACCATGCATGGTGCATACGGATGCACAGCATAACGATCCCTTTCTTGGACATGTCCATATAGCCCAAACCCAGTATACCATCCATAAGCATTAATTCGACATTTTATTTCAAACTTAGCTTGTAGACTTGTAATTTTTTCACCAAACATAACTTATAACCTATTGATAACTTAAAATCTAAGTTATAAACTCTCAAATAATTAATGTCTCCCAAAGAGCTAGTCTTATTAAAAAATAGAAGCATTTGCCCTAAAAGGGGTGATCAAGTGGGTGCGGGAGCATGATTCCCGTATATAATTGACCATTGGAACTTATGTGTGGTATATTCCTAGAATGGAAACTGTGAATTGGAGAAGTTTAAGCAGCCATGCCAAGACCATTGGAACATTGGTTTCCATTGCAGGGGCTTTTGTGTTAACTTTCTACAATGGGCCACCAATTCTCAATAAACCAACCCTCCTCTTCTTATCCTCAAAGCAAGATTGGATTCTTGGAGCATTCTTGCTAGTCATCACAGCCTTATCCAATGCAATCTGGTACATTTCTCAGGTCTGATCTGGACTTCAAAACGCTTAATTGCTTCATTTTAAATTTCATAATATATATATGGTGTAAATCCAGCAGGATTATTAGAATAATTTATTTTTCTGATTGTAATAATTAATGTGGTATATATCTGCAGGCTGCCATTCTGAAGGTATATCCAGCAAAGATGATGATACTATGCTTTATCTTCTTGTTTTCGACTATCCAATCTGCACTAGTCTCATTGGTAACAGTGAGAGATTGGACTGCCTGGAAGATAAACCCTGACATTACATTATTCGCCGTTTTCTATACCGTAAGGTCCAAGCTCTCAATATTACATAATTAAATTCTTTTTCAATCCTGTATAATTAAGATAATCAAGCGCCCTTTCGTTCTCTGTCCAACAATTTCTAGCTCTAGTTGGTACTGGACTGAACCATTACCTCCCCTAACACTTACCAGCCCTAATTGTACTTGTGAGTCGTGAGCTGGCTCTGATACCACTTAAGATCAAGCACTTACCACCATGCAAAAAGTTATAACTTAGGGAATACACAATTTTATTTTCTTATACCATCACATTTTGAAGAGATAAGGTACTGGACTTTACCCTTCAGACCTTCTTCCAACATTTATTATTACAATTTCTTCTGTGAGGCTAACATATTATATATTTAAATTGATTGAATACATTTAAGTGGTGGAAGAGGTTAATGTATTTATAATAAATATTTGTTGGATATATACATCTATACATGCAGGGGTGCAGTACTGCATTTCGTGTGTATTTGATATCATGGTGCATTGAGAAGGAAGGGCCTCTCTTTGTGTCTATGTTCAAGCCTTTGGCCATTGTTGTTGCTGCTGTGGTTGGAGTTATTTGGTTTAGTGATACTCTCTATCTTGGAAGGTATTTAATTAATACCCAAATATATGGTACAATATTCATTACGATTTTTTTTTTTTAATATTATTGACTTGATTACAAAGTAACCATTGTGATTCGAATCTGTGACCTCCAAATTGGGACTGCCAATGAAATGCTATAGAGCTACAAGCTACTTGGCCATTACGCTTTTTAATCTTAATTTCTATAATATTATATTTTATATTAATTCCTATACAACAACAAAAATTGAATTTTCTATTTTAGTTAAATTTTTTACACTAATTTATATTACTAAAAAAAAAACTCAGGTACAATAATATTAACCCTAATGTAGTTTAATGGTTTTGTTGCCCTAAAGACTAAAATGTAATTTTTTTTTTAAACTAAGGATATATTGCAACTACAAAAAGATAATGACTAAAACTATTATTAAGAAAAAGTTGTGTCATTTGTCACAAACCATAGCATTTGTATAAAAAATAAATTAATTAAAATAAATATCTTCTAATAGAATATAAAAATTAATTAGAAAATAAGATTGAATAGTTGTTTGAGTACTATTGACTATGTTACAATGCTGTAGATTTTTTATTTTTTTTTGAATTATACTAGCTCTATTACAATGTAGTATCTGTTCATATATATACTTTCTCAACCTACTGAAACACAAAGAGCCAATAACGCCTCCCGTGACAATGCAGTAGATTAAATAGTTGTTTAAGTTAAATTATATTGCAAATAACATAATTGGAATTTGATTGCAGTATTATTGGAGGAGTGATAATTGTGGTTGGATTCTACGCTGTCACGTGGGGAAAATTTAAAGAAAATATTTCTGAAGTGGAAACGCTGGGAAACTCTGCATCTTCAACCCCGAATGCCCCATTGTTGCAAGTCCATACACAAAACTAGCAATACTTATATTTTTTTTTCAAAATAAATTTATCTTATTACAAATAAAATTAATGTATAAAAATATTTAAAAATTCTAATTGAGATCTTTTAAATTACAATCAAATTGGTATTTTAAAATAATAATGATAATAATAATACAAATAATATGCACTCTATTCAATGTTTTTTTTGGGGTATTAGGATTTTCTCATTTGAACTTTGCATATTTAATGTAATTCTTATACCATGGATCAAAGTTCACATTGCACCGTCGACATTGGTTCAAAAAATGAAAAATTGCCACATTTTTCTCATCTGTTTGATTTGATCTCATCTTATGATTCTAATATATCCTCACGACTGCACAGGAGAATATGATTGCATTTGAACCTAAACATATATCTAATCTAAAAACATAATAAATGTGAAATAAGGTTATACCCTTCATTTATGTCCGTTTTTCCGTTACATTTTTTTAACACTATGCTATAAAAGTTGTACTATACAATATTTTGAACAAACATACCTCCATCATTATAACTTCCGCTATATTTTCTACTATTATATTATTATTACCATGCACATTTGTCCACCATATATTTTCTTATCTTCTTCAAATCTACAACAACAACAACAACAACAACAATAATAATAATAGTAATAATAATAATAATAATAATAATAATAATAATAATAATAATAATAATAATAATAATAATAATAATAATAATAATTATTATTATTATTATTATTATTATTATTATTATTATTATTATTATTATTATTATTATTATAAATTGAAATTATATGTTAGCCATTTCTTAAAATATAAATATCAAATTTATTAAAATATTTTACATTATTATTATTATTATTATTATTATTATTATTATTTACAATAATTTAAATATCTAAAGGTCATGTTCGGTAAAATAGTTAGCTTATAGGTCAATTTTGGTTTATTTAACCACTATTAACTTTTTTATTTAGTTAAAAAATTTATATAAATGTTTGGTTAATTAGTTTTTTGTAACTCTAAAATGCTAAAATTTAAAAAGCTGTTCAAAACAACTTTTTCGATTTGCTTTTTAAGAAAGGATATTATACTAAACACCTATCACCTAACAGTTAATTTACCAAACATACACATTTCTACAATCATCTAATGTTATTAACTAGTTATACCCTCTAAATCTCTAATTAACTCAATCAGCTAACAGCTAACAATCATTTACCAAATCAGGCCAAAATCTAAATAAATTTAGAATTTTACTATAAAGTAGTAATATTGCGCACTTATTTTTGCGCATCGCGCATAAAAAAATACTAGTTAGTATATGTATATTGGGACTTATATTGTTCACCTACGCAGTACATACAAGATACAACACACTGACATACATATATTCTTAGCCAAAACCGATTTGAAAGCACCATGCCACCATCTCAAAGGATAAGGGTGTGTACCCTTAGCTCTCTCACTTCCACTCTTATTACATACATAAATAAATACACCAAAAAGAGAGATAGAGAGAGAGATGATGATGAACAGGTTCGTGGAGAAAGCATGGCCCTTTGTGGTAATGGTGATTGCAGTATTAACACAGGTGACCAATTTGATAGTAAGCAAAATGGGAATGTCAAAAGGCCTCAACTTCTTTATCCTTGCTCTCTATACCAATATTCTATCCACCGGCAAATTATGCCCTGGACCCATGTGGACACGGGCCCAAAACGACGTCGTTTTTTAAAAAAAAACGCGTCATTAAAAAAAAAAATTACACGCGTTTTGCCGTTAACGGTGTTATTTTTTTTTTGGATTATGAATGTACAGTTATGCCGTTATGAATGTACAGTTATGCCGTTATGAATATACAGTTATGCAATTATGAAATTATGAACACAGAGTTCTAATATTATGAACTTACAATTATGAACATATATAGTGATAAAATTATGACCATGGAGCTTTAAAATTGTGAATATAGAGCTTCGAAGATTATGAATGTACAGTTATGGAGTTATGAATGTACAGTTATAGAGTTATGAATCTACAGTTATGGAGTTATGAATCTACAGTTATGAGATTATGAATATACAGTATGGAATTATGAATGTACAGTTATTGATCAAATTATGAACAAAGAGCTCTAACATTATGAACTTACAATTATGAACATATAGTGATAAAATTATGAACATAGAGCTCTAAAATTGTGAACATAGAGCTTCGAAAATTATGAATGTACAATTATGGAGTTATGAATGTACAGTTATGGAGTTATGAATGTACAGTTATGGAGTTATGAATGTACAGTTATAGAGTTATGAACGTACAGTTATGGAGTTATGAATGTATAGTTATTAACATATAGTAATAAAATTATGAACATATACTCTTACAATGAAGCGGTCTGAAATTTAAAAAAAAAAAAAAAAAAAAAAGAAAAAAGAAAAAAGAAAAAGGAGATAACAGTGCCGTTAGGCACTGTTACCCGTGTCCAGCAAGCATGCTGGACACGGGTCCAACGCATAACGATTGCTATCCACCCTCATCTCTCTCCCTTTTGCTTTCATCTTCTCCAGGTATATATATATATATATATATATATATATATATATATATATATATTATGTAATTTCACCCACCAAATTTACTCTAAACATTATACATCAGTTTCATTAAAAGTTCTATTTTTTATTTTTTATTTTTATTTCGCGGCTATGATTAAAGAACTGGTTTTTACTTTCTCTTTTTTCCTAAAATTTATTTGCGAAATTTTGTAAATTAATTTTGGTAGGTCAAACAACTGTCCGGTGACTTTTGCTGTGCTCTGCAAAATCTTCCTGCTCGCTTTAGTTGGGTTAGTATTAGTATGTACAAAGAATTATATAGGTGTTGTTATATTAATATAATTATATATATAATATATAACTATAACTATAATTAATATATTTATAAATATAATTACAATTATTAGTATTATTTCAGGTGCGTTGTGCAGATTTGTGAATATGCGGGTACAAACTACGGCTCCCCAACACTAGCTACGGCGATGCAGAACCTCATTCCAGGCTTTACGTTCGTGCTTGCTCTTATACTAAGGTTCTCTTCTTGTTTTTATATTTTATATAAAAGTTCACTTTTAGTTGATTAATTATAATTTATAATCACATTTTTTTTAAAATTTAAATGGAAATGTAACCAATTTAGATACAAGAAATTGGGGTTGGCAGATACAGAGGAGGGAAGTCCACACGGGCTTAGCTCACTGATCAATCGTTATGCGTTGGATCCGTGTCCAGCATGCTTGCTGGACACGGGTAACAGTGCCGTTAGGCACTGTTATCTTTTTTTTTTTTTTTTTTTTTTTTTTTTTTTAAATTTCAGACCGCTTCGTTATAGGAGTATATGTTCATAATTTTATTACTATATGTTAATAACTGTACATTCATAACTCCATAACTGTACATTCATAACTCCATAACTGTACATTCATAACTCCATAATTGTACATTCATAATTTTCGAAGCTCTATGTTCACAATTTTAGAGCTCTATGTTCATAATTTTATCACTATATGTTCATAATTGTAAGTTCATAATGTTAGAGCTCTTTGTTCATAATTCGATCAATAAATGTACATTCATAATTCCATAACTGTAGATTCATAATCTCATAACTGTAGATTCATAACTCTATAACTGTACATTCATAACTCCATAACTGTACATTCATAATCTTCGAAGCTCTATATTCACAATTTTAAAGCTCAATGGTCATAATTTTATCAGTATATATGTTCATAATTGTAAGTTCATAATGTTAGAGCTCTGTGTTCATAATTTCATAATCGTATAACTGTACATTCATAACGGCATAACTGTACATTTCATAACGGCATAACTGTACATTCATAATCCAAAAAAAAAAAAAATAACACCGTTAATGCTGTTAACAGCAAAACGCGCGCGAATTTTTTTTTTTTTATTATTACTAAATGACGCGTTTTTTTTTTAAAAAACGACGTCGTTTTGGGCCCGTGTCCACAATTCAGTGTGGACACGGGTCCAGGGCATAATTTGCCCTCACTGATTCAGTAGATAATATTTGGGAGAAGTAATTAAGGTTCGATTATTGACAGTCATAGTGTAGGGATTATGTGTAAAATGGGAGTGAATTACCGTGATTTACATATTTCTAAGTACTTTGTTAGGTAGGAATGTGGGGCCCTTCAATTATCGACTTATTGGGAAAGTTATTATGTGGCCCCAGGTTTGAAAATACATAATTTGTATACTGATTGTTCACAATTATTTCACATACTGAATGTTCACAATTTACATATTGAATGTTCATAATTTTACACATTGAATGTCCACAATTTACATACTGAATGCCTGAATGTACACAATTACCTACCAAATGTTCACAATTGAAAGTGTAAAAATTCATTATATAAATTGTAAACATTTAATATGTAAATTGTGAACATTCAGTTTATAAATTGTGTATTTCGATTCAAATTTATCTTACAAGGTGAACCCGAGTTCATGTCATAACTATTGCGACTTGACGGTATAGGCCCGGCAATAATTGTCATGCGGTGGCTCCTACCAAAAAGATCGAAAAGATTGGGGCGACTTTTCAAAAAGAAAAAACCCTACAAAGTACAAATGAATGGTCATATTATTAAAGAAAATGTCTTTTATGACAATAATAAAATTATGAGTTAATACCCAAAATGGTCCCTTGACTATGCCATAATTACCAATTTGGTCCTCAACTACCATTCTTACCCAATTAAGTCCTCAACTATGTAACTTTTACTCAATTAAGTCCTCAACTATACAATTCTTACCCAATTTAGTCCTCAACTATATAATTCTTACCCAATTTAGTCCTCTGTATTAATTTGACTGTTTGTTGACTGTCAAAACTCGGGATAAAATTATAATTTTACAAGATTTTTCCTTCCTCTCCATTTAGCAGCGCCAAACCATGCAGCAATACACTCCGATCAGATTTCGATCGTCAAAAAATCGTTGGAAATCAAATTCATGGGCTATCCGATGCATAACCACTACTTCGATACTGACAGGTTTAGAACCCAACCCGAGCTTATTGCTACATGGTTTGGCGCTGCTAAATGAGGAGGAAGGAGAAAACTTGTAAAATTACAACTTTATTTCCACTTTTGACAGTCAACAAACAGTCAAATTGACAAAGGACTAAATTGGGTAAAAATTGTATAGTTGAGGACTTAATTGGGTAAGAATGATAGTCGAGGACCAAATTGGTAATTACGACATAGTCGAGGGACTATTCTGGGTATTAACTCTAAAATTATTTTACATCTACCTTACTTTACTTTCGTTCCCATCAATTAAATTTCTGAAAAAGTATTTTCAAAAAATATATTTGATGGAAATAACTTTATAAGAAAAATTAATTAATGCGTTTGGTGTTACCTTAAAAAATAAGAATTAAATTACTTAAAAAATTAATTAAGATGTTTGATTCGTTTAATTTTTTTTTAATATCTAATATATTCTTGCTATATACAAACATTAAACAAGTGTAATAAATAAATCATATGTTAAAAAACTCTAGTATAAACCAATCTGGCCAGCACGTTGCCCCTTAATTGGGCCGGCCCAGTGCGAACGAGGATTAATCTGAGTATGATACGGGCTTAAAATGTCTCATACAGTTAGGGCTTGCTCAGGATACCTCGTAGTCTGACCCAAAAAAAAAACTAAAAAAAAACTCTCTAGTCTACAACAATAATATTCAAAATGCAAAATATTACGGAGTACTAGAAAGACAAGTTTCTTCGATAAATAGTATTGTTATACTTACTAATAGTAGGAGGGACAAATTTATTATATTTTATAAGACACTTTTAATTTGTATTTTTTGGTGTCAAAAAGATAAATACGTAATTGAATAAATTTGATAGATTTTAAGAACGCAGCAAAATTGGATTCTTGGAGCATTCTTGCTAGCCATCTCAGCCTTATCCATTGCAATCTGGTACATTTCTCAGGTCTGGACTTCAAAACATGACTTTGCTTCATTTTAAATTTTATGCTACTTTTCTAGTTGGTGCTGGGAGGGAGAATAGAGGGAGAATAGTTAAGCGGAGGCTGTAAAGGTCAAGTCTAGCACTTGGTGGCTGGGAGTTGTTAGACGGAGGTTGGTAAAGGCCAAGTCTAGCACTTAATTGGTGGTTGGGGGTTTTTTGGCGAAAGCCGGTAAAGGCCATGTCCAGCACCGCGTCTCGAAAATGTGTGGTGGTATAAGGAAATAAAGTTGCGCATTTGCTACTACCTATAGCTTTTGGCGTAAGTGGTGAGCGCTTGATCCTAACATTTTCTCTATTGGCAAATCTTGTGTGAGACCTTCTCACAAATCCTTGCCCGTGAGACGAGTCGGGTGGTAGACAACTAGGTGAAATGCTCAATGGAGGTATAATTTGTAAGTATCACAATTTCAATTATAAGTATTACAATATTTATAATTAGTAACAATCAATTTTTTCCTAAAATATTATCACAATTTCACATATAAATAGAGTTAATTCCACCAGAAGTCTCTTGTCTTTGGTAGCAATTCCAAATTTAGTCTCAGACTATCGTTTTTGTCAGTTAACATCCCAGACTATTTTGTTTGGGCACATTTAGTCCTTCGTTCTCATGACTTTTTCTATTTTTAATAAGGGCATTTTTGTCTCTTCATATTTTTTTTTGTTATTTTTTCAGTTTTAACCGATTTATTTGGTTTAGGACATTACTAAAAACCGGTTGAAAAATATGGTCCAAAAAAATGAGAGGTTACCTAAAGTTCTAAACCTATTAAACCTATTGAAATTGGAAGAATAACAAAAGAAAAATATGAAAATACAAAAATGCCCTTACTAAAAATAGGAAAAGTCATGAAAAGGACTAAAAGTGTCCAAAAAATAATAGTCTAGGATGTTAAATGACAAAAATGATAGTCTAATACTAAATTTGAAATTAACTCCATATAAATATTACAATATCTATTATAAGTAGCAGTTTATTTTTAATTCAATATTTATCCTAAGTAACGATTTTATAATTCAAATTAGTATTAACTCAAATCCATCCACAATTCAGTAAGTAATTTGATCACATCCTTAACCAAATGTCAAGGGTTCGAATCTTGATTTTGAGTATGGACCAATTTTAAATTTTCAGACCAACTGTCACACTTAATAGATGTGCCTACAATTCAACCTGGGGGTCATTGTGTTCAATAAGTTAATTTTCTGATGGTAATTAGTGTGGTATCAGGCTGCCATTCTGAAGGTATATCCAGCAAAGACGATGATGCTATGCTTTTACTTCTTGTTTCTGACTATCCAATCTGCACTAGTCTCATTGGTAACAGTGAGAGATTGGAGTGTCTGGAAGATACATCCTGACATTACATTATTCGCCGTTTTCTATTCGGTAAGATTCAACCTCTCAATATTACATAATTAAACTTCTTTCTCAATTAATTCATGTTTAATTAGGATCAAGCGTCCTTTCGTTCTCTGTCCAACAATTCCTCTAGTTGGTACTAGACTTGACCACTACCTTCCCTAACACTTACTAACCTTAACTACACCGACTTTTATACCACTTAAGACTAAGATTTACCATCATAACAAAATATACCTGGTAGTGAAGACGCAATTTTATTTAATTTCCTTATACCACCAAATTTTGGAGAGACAAGATGCTGGACTTCACCCTTCAGACCTCCGTCCAACAAACACATTAGCTACTTGATTTTAGATTTGGCCGTTCACCGACCTCCGCCTAACATTTATTAATTATTACAATTCTTTTATGAGGCTAACATATTAAATATTAAAATTGATTGAATACATTAAAGTGATGGAAGATGTTAATGTATTTATAATAAATCCTAATAAAACTTTTTGACAACATCATCAATAAGACAATAACATGCGTGATAGTATATAGTATCACCATTTTAAATGTATCAAGTTTGAATATATAATGTTAAGTACATGCTATCTTAAAATCCAATGGAAAACATTATACCAATTAGGAAATTAAATTTAATTTGTTGGATATATATATACATATATACATGCAGGGGTGCACTCTTGCATTTCGTTTGTATTTGATATCATGGTGCATAGGGAAGGAAGGGCCTCTCTTTGTGTCTATGTTCAAGCCTATGGCCATTGTTATTGCTGCTGTGCTTGGAGTTATTTGGCTTAGTGATACTCTCTATCTTGGAAGGTATTTAATTAATATCCAAATATATGGTACAATACTCATTACGTTATTTTTTTTTATTTTTTTTTTAGTACTACTGATTTTATTACAATGTATCTGCTGGGGTTCGACATGTGACCTCCCAATAATACATTGTAACAGAGTCAGTAATACTAAACAAATTTAATTCAAATAATATTTTCTAATAGATTATTAAAATGAATTAGGAAATTGGATTGAATAGTTGTTAAATTTAAATTGCAAATAACATATTTGGAATTTGATTGCAGTATTATTGGAGGAGTGATAATTGTGGTTGGATTCTACGCTGTCATGTGGGGAAAATCTAAAGAAAATATTACTAAAGTGGAAACGTTGGGAAACTCTGCATCTTCATGCCACAATGCCCCATTGTTGCAAGTTCATACACAAAACTAATTAACAATAGTTATATCATGGGTGAAGTGTATATATGTTGCTACATATATTTAATACATTTCTATTTTTTTTTTCTTTATATCGTTTTTTTTAATATAAATTTATCTTTTTTACAAATAAAATTAATGTATATATATATAAAAAAAAAAAAACTCTTTAAATTACAACCAAATTGGTTTTTAAAATAATAATAATAAAGCTTGGCATCGTCCTGGCCATCAATTTTCTTATTGAGTTATGGTGATTTACATCCTTTCAAATACTCTATCCGGTCGGAGTATGTGGACCTTTAGGATTGGGGATTCAACTTTTGAGAGAAAGATAAAATAGAATCAAAGCCCGCATGGGTAGCTCAACTGGTCATAGAGGTGAAACTTTGGAATAATGACCATGGATTGAGTCTCACCAGCAGCAGTGTGGGAGCAACCTCTCAAAGTGAGGGGGGCTCCTTGTGCGCAGTGAGCACCGGTCTAGTCTCTGTCGGGCCCTTAGGGTTAGGGTTCAGCCTTTTAGAATAATAAAATAGAATCAAAATATTAGTGGAGAACTAAACTAAAAATATTATTATAATTGAGAACTAAAATTAAAATTAAATTCATTTAAAATTATGTTTTGAATTTTTAATTCGGATGCCGGCGAACATATATTCTCAGTATCTGGACCATGTTATAACATCAGATTCAACTTTTCGACGTTTGACTCAAAGTTCCCAGAATGATACTGTACTAAATCAATCTTCCACCACTTATATATACGTAAGAGATTCCAGTGAAATGCCTAAAATTTGATATGGCTATGGCGGCTAAGGTGGAGGGAGCTTTGCCTTATCTGGGTATGGTTTTAGCCCAGTTTGCTCAAGTGGGGTTGATGATCGTAGGCAAAGCAGCCATGTCTAGTGGAATGACCAATTTCACCTTCGTCTTCTACTCCAATGCTCTTGCGGCTCTTCTTCTCCTCCCCGCTTTCTTCATCCAAAGGTATATCGTACTTCCATTTATGTCTATAAATTGTAACTTTTTCCACCTTATTTATGCTTTTCCTAATTGTGCGTAGGTCAACTCGTCCTCCACTCACCTTCTCTCTCATCTGCTGGTTTTTCTTGCTGGGAATTCTTGGGTATGTTATGTAATTCTGCCATGGTTCATTAACTTTTTGCTCTTGTACTGGAAATCTGGTAAAAATTGTGTGTTTCTTACTTTCTTTACAATCAATTGTTGTAAAAATCTAATCTTTATATTGCTATTCCACTTTTTGTTCTGTAGATGCTCAGCACAGCTTACTGGGTATACTGGAATCAACTATACTTCATCATCTTTTGCCTCCGCAATGCTCAACCTCATTCCAGGTTTTACTTTTCTTCTTGCCATCATTTTCAGGTTTTTACTCCTCTTCTAGCTCTTGATCTTGTTACTTTTGGATATCAACTTGTTTATAGCTCTAGTAATCCTTTGGCTAACAACAGCCCTTTATATGTTTATAGCTCTAGTAATACTTTGGCTAATTGAAGCATGTGCTCCATCTCAACTAAAAGCTTAAGCTGATAGTTGGATTGCACATTAATGGTTATATGCTCAACATGGCTAAACCTGTTAGTTATTTATTACTCTGAATAATTAGAACAGCCCAACAATCTGATGTTTTCTTTCAAAAATTGTGGTGGTTTTAGAATGGAAAAACTGGATCTTGCTAGCTCAAGCACCATGGCAAAATGTATTGGGACTATTGTGTCAATTGTTGGAGCATTCATTGCTACTCTCTGTAAGGGGCCGGAGATTTTCACAAACTCTGCCTCTTCAAGAGCCAACTTTCACCATCTTCGTTTACCACAAGTAGACTGGATTCTTGGAGCAGCGTTCCTGTTAGTTGACTGTCTGGTGTCTTCGGCATTTCTAGTTGTACAGGTATTCTACTTCTTGAAAGTTGGAACGTTCTGGAAATGCGGAAACTAGTGCGAATTGCAGCAATATAACTCTCATTTGTGTATGGTCACTTTCCCAATGTTTTTCTCGACAGGCATCCATCCTTAAGAATTTCCCAGCAGAGCTTATTGTGGTCTTCTTTTACTTCTTCTTTACGGCCATTCTATCTGCAGTCATCTCTCTTATTGTGGGCAGGGACTTAAATGCATGGATGCTAACGCCTGATATGAGGTGGCTTGCTGTTCTATACTCGGTCAGTTATTTGCTTCCTCTATTACACTTATTTCAGGTTACCCTCTTGAAGCAATTCGGTCAAAATTGGGCAATTTCGTTAGAAAATTTAAATCTTGTGTGTAAGTGTCTTCATCATCGAGAGAATTAAAGCAGCCTAAGCTGATAGTTGGATTGCACATTAATGACTATATGCCCTATTCGAACCATGACCTTTGGTCTGGCTCTGATACCAAATTAAAGCATGTGCTCCATCTCAACTAAAAACCTAAGCTGATAGTTGGATTGCACATTAATGGCTATATGCTCAACAGAGAGTACCTCAACTAAACTTTCCAATGTATGTTTCCCTTCTTAATTCTGCTTTTTAGGCGGTTTTTGGCTCTGCGTTCCAAGTCAGTGTAATGGTCTGGTGCGTACACAGGAAGGGACCTGTTTTTGTTGCTCTTTTCCATCCGTTAGGGATTGTGATCGCTGCTGCATTGGGCATCGTCTTCTTAGGGGATATTTTCTATGTCGGAAGGTGTTTGTGATCTCCTTTGTATAAACTTTCTGCTCCATACAAATTGACATTAACATTCCTGCTGATCGAACTCGGGAAATTGGTTTTCCCTTTACACTCAAATGCCTGTGTGCAAGAATGTTTTCTGCTTATTTACTAATCATTAGATTTTTTTTGCAGTTTGGTGGGCTCAGTTATAATTGTTATTGGATTTTACTGTGTGATATGGGGAAAAGCAAAAGAAATGAAGGTGACTAATGACAGTTTGGTGATAAACATCAAGTCCAGCGGTGAAAAGGCTCCTCTCTTGGAAAATAAAGGTGGGGAGACGGGAATTTAGTGCCGAAGTCACTGGACCTTGTAAAATTGGTATGCTTTTATTTGAATATGCATGGTTTATTGCATTTTTTGCTCCACCAAAAATGTGTATAGAACTTGGAGGTAAAAGCATTATTATATGTGCTTCATTGTTGTACTCTAAATGCAACACAGATATCTTGGAGGACTAATATACGACTCGTAAATTACTTCAATGCAATGCTTTTAAATCAAAATGTAGTATTTATGGGTTTAAGAGTTAATTATAAGAGAAAGTGTAATACTTATAAGTAATTCAACCTGTCTCACGGGTGAAAACCCATGTGACGGTTTCATAGGAGTTTTTGCCATTTTGAGAATATAAACTCTTTACAGATTTAGATATGTTTGGTTGCATCATTATTTGCAATAAGTAGATCATTTACTGCTGGTATTTCAGACATACAATATCATGACTCACATTTCTGAACTCAAATGAGACCATAACTGGCCTTATTCATAACCATTCATCGAAATAAACACACAACATTTCTAGTGACCCAGACAGACCTGAAGGTGATTCCATCAAGAACAGTTGAAAGTAGAGCATTTTATGCCTTGAGAAAGGCTTCGAGATCCTTGAATGTCTTAACGGCGGCATCCTTGATGAGGTGGGGATCAGGAACCTCGGCACTAGCCTTCTCGAATTCACACCCCCACTTCACCAGGCTCCCGTCTCCCTTTGGAGTCACAGACAGGTAAGCCTTGAAATCCTTGTAGTATTTCAGGATGTCACCCTCAATCACATGGTAGCTCACTGTCTTCTTCTCATCATCTACTGTGTCTATCTTCTCCTTTGAGAATGTGACCAGTGGAGCTCCTACAAAAACCCAAAAATGTTTCTCAATTCAAACAAGCCCACCTGTTTTATAAACTAGCTAGATGGAATGCTGATTGGCACCGGTGCCTTTTGCATTAGGTTCAACTATGTATGCACTGGTTTGAGCCAGTCAGCTATGAACAACTTAGGTTGGTTTATCCCTTATGGTCCTTTGTCGACTAGGGTCACAATCTAGTGCACATCCTCGGGTAGTGGCTCTGAGTTCCCCTCCCCGGCCTCCACCAAACAAAAGACACTAGCCCTGTGGGGCTAGTTCAGTTGGTTCGATCGATAAACTGGGAACACCTAATGTAAAGAAAAAGAGAGAGACTAGTGGTGTCTTTTGCATTAGGTTCAACTATGTATGCACCGGTTTGAGCCGATTAGCTATGTACAACTTAGGCTGGTTTACCCCTTGTGGTCCTCTGCCGACTAGGGTCACAATCTAGTGCACATCCTGGGGTAGAGACTGTGGGTTTCTCTCCCTGGCCTCCACCAAAAAAAAGACACTAGCTCTGTGGAGCTAGTTCAGTTGGTTCGATCGATAAACTGGGAAAACCTAATGTAAAGAAAAAGAGAGAGACTAGTGTCGATCAACATCGTAGACTTACCATCAACATATTTGATCAAGCGGATTGAGCCAACGGCCTTTCCATCGCCTTCAAGAACCTCAATACTCTTGTAGACATCAGGGAAAGCCTTGGGGAAGAGGGTGGTGGAGTCCCTGATGCTATTCCAGAACTTGTCAGCACCAATGCTAACCTCCAAGTCCACTTCAATCTTTCCTTGAGCAGCCATAGCTAAATACCTTGAAACCAAGCTAAGAATGGGTTAGAAAAGAGATAAGGAAATAGGTAGAGAAGTGTGTGCTTAGGAAGGTAGAATGAAGATGTATATATAGTAGAGGAGAGGGGTGAGAAAGGGGTGGGGGGCGATTTATTGCCATTAGTTCACCCGCCGTCGGTATTGTGCATGCTTCTTTATTAACCGTTCTGACTAGTACGTATTGATTGTTGACTAACTATGACCAGTCGGTGCTTTAAAACTTGTACTGTATTTGGGTGTTCGGTAAATAGTTGTTGGCCGATAACTATTAACTGATTGGGTTAGTAGGTTTGATTAGTTGATAGTATTGGCTGATTGTAAAAAAATGTAGTTTGGTAAATTAGTTGTTAGCTGATTATATGCAAAATGACTTTCTTAAAAAGTTGTTTTGACTAGCTTTTTGAATTTTAACCTTTTAGAACAATAAATTGTTAAAAAAAAAAAAAGCTAATTAACCAAACAATAACTATTTTACTAAACATGGCCATTGTATTATTGTTACCTCTTGCCCACATAAGGCAAAATAATCTCATCTCAAGGCCCTACGCTCTGACCCGACATAATAGTGGATAGGTAAACCATGGTACTTCAACGGTCCATTAGGTGAGAGGATCAGTGTCTGGTGTCCACAAAAAATTCATCACTCGATCTTGTGTGCCCTTACTGACAAATATTGTTTTTTCTTTCTTTCTTTCGGTAATAAATGTATCGTAAATTTAGGAGTACAAGACATTTTTAAAGTGAGTATTAGATGTACAAGTAATGAATATTAATATTTCTGTTAAACAAGGTATTTTAGGTTTTTTTTTTTTTAAGTAATAAAGTGCATAATACATTTTGGGGAGAATTAATTATTAAAATAGTCCCTTGACTATTGCGAAACTACCAATTTAGTTCTCAATTATTTTTTTACCTAATAAAGTCTTCAACTTTATAAAAATTAATCAATATAGTCCTCCGTCCGGAAAAGTGTCAAAAATTGCGTTAAGTCGAGGGTAATAAAGGAATTTGACTTTGATTGGTCCTTTTTTTCCTCTTATTTAGGCAAAATAACCCTAGCTCCGATTGGATCCATTTAACAAAATGGGTTTTTCTCTGATTGCTCCTTCAGGCAATTCTTCTCCTCGCGGATGTTCCAAAGCTCAAAATTCTCTGCTGAATATTCTTTGGATAATTTCAACTATTATATCAGAACCAGAGTATGATGCGAAGAGGGAAGTTAAAGTGTTTGGTATCGACTTGAACGTCGGGTTTCTTGCGCCGCCTGGATCGGGGGCGGAGTCTGATGCTCAGGTGGATGAAGGCGTTAAAAATGGTGGCGCTGCGGCGGATTGCAAAGGCAAAGGAGAAGAAGGGTTCATGGGTTTGCTTATTGAAGCCGCAAGATTGATCTTTGGGGAGTTCAACGATAAGAAATACGGTGGGGCCGTCAGCGCTAGACCAGAACAAGAACCGGAGAAAAACAAGTCGGAATCCTAGAATTTCGACGAAACTAAGATCACGGTGGTCAACTCGGAGAAAAACAACTCCCTTCGTAGCTGTGTCCACCGCACCTCACTCTGATCTCCCAGGACCCCTTCTGGCAGCACACGACGCTGCTGACAAGCTCCTCCTTGCTCTCCGGCGTGAGCAGCTCAAAGAACCTCCTCTACCACTGCTGCCGCCGTCACTCTTCAGGCAGAGAACAAAGCTCTTGACACCAACATCAACTAAACAACCAGAATTAGGGATTTTACATTATTACTAAAAAAAACCTCTAAATTTTGAAGTAAAATACGTGGGCAGCCAAAAAAAAAATTGTGGGCAGCCCGGGCTGCCCGACAAGTGACTTAAAATTCCTTTATTGCCCTTGAGTTTAACAGACGTTATATGCCAAGCCTAGCGAAGGACCATATTAGTTAACTTTACAAAGTTGAGGACTTTATTAGGTAAAAAAAATAATCGATGACTAACTTAGTAATTTCGTAATAGTCAATGGATCATTTTGGTAATTAACTCTTTTGGGGAGGAAAAGGGAAATATCAAGTGAAATCACATTATTACCCCTTGTCTCCAAAGTTCTGAAGTATAATGTTTGATTTTGACAAATTGACCATGGCGAAATCTATTGTGTCACTTCAGTGACTTGACTTACAACTTGAGGACTAATTGGAGTGACATCTGTAATATAATAATTAAATTTAGAGTTAAATTCTATTTTTTTTCTAGATTTATAAGTTATAGTTCACTTTTCATTTTTTATCAAAACATCTCATTTTAGTCCTATTATTATTGTGACATGATCAATTTTGGTCATCTCTAAAAAAAATCGTTAAAATTTTGTTAAATACAAAAACATTTCTATCTTCAATTATGAATTTTTTCAAAAAATCAAACATAAAAAATATAACGGGTCAACACACTTTGTATTAAAAAGATCGAGATGTCCTTCTATTTAACAAAATCTCAACGATTTTGTTGATAGAAAACCAAAATTGATAATGTCACGATAATACTAGGACCAAAAGCGGATGTTCTGATAAGAAAGAATTAAAAGTGAAGTGTCACCTATAAATCCATGATAAAAATAGAATTAACTCTTAAATTTATTACTTCTTCAATTCAATGATTAAAAGTTTAAAAAAAAAAATGAAACAGAAAATATGAAATAGAACAAAAATTTTCAGAAATTTAATGCGAGTGGGTAAAGCATTTATTCTGGGCATCTGGCTTTTGCAGTTATTAAGAGGTTGTCTGCTAACAAAATTTATTGTTGGTGGGTAATGGTTTCCCGCTTTGAAAACTTTAGGGAGCAGTTAATAAAATTGGTTCCTTGAACAAAATTATTATACAGAGCAAATAGATTTTTTTTTTTTGTTTGGCAAATAGATTTCTTAGGATCCCATGAAAACACATCTTAGGAGAAAACTAAGGTTTAAGAGTGTGTTTAGTTCGCACATGAGAATCAAATACTTAGTAATGATAATGGATTTTGGTGAAAGTATTTTGCATGTTTGGTAATATGGTGGAATTGGAATGATTACCAATATTGATGTTTGGTTATGTATAATCTTATAATGGAGATAAAGGTTTTAAAAATACAAAAAACAAAAAAAAAAAAAAACAAAAACAAAAAATTAAGACAATTGATCCTAATATAATGACATTCAAAGCACAAATATGAACAAAAAAATCAAAACAAAAATCTAAAAGTATACATCCAAACTTAAAAATTAGATTACCAATGAGATGGAATGATATACGTTTTTAATTAGGGAATGAAGTTTTTACTTGAAGGAGTAATCAAATTACATAGTTGTGTTTTAAAAAGTTGTCAATCAAACGCTAACGATGATTTTGATTCACATTTCTAATGTGAAAACTCATGAACTAAACACACTTTAAGAAGTAATCTCAACGTTACATTCGTAAAAATCGGATGAATCATATCAATTTTTTTTTTTAAAAAAATGTAATAGCATTTTTGTAATTATCATTCCCTTTACTTTTCAATTTTTAACTTAGAACACTATACTGTGAACTTTGTAACAACTAAATGTGCATTCCTGAATAACTTATAAAAAATATCAATGGAAAAACTAAATTTTAAATCTAAATCGTAAATGTTAAACCCTAAGCAGTAAAAGTGAACCCATAAACCAAATAAAATCAAAAAGCTTAGTCATAAACTTTACCGTCCAAACCCTAAGCTCACATTTTTGTTTTCTTTTTCATTTTTATTAATAAAATCTATTTTTTTATTTGTGGGTATGTACATATAAATTTTCCAAATTAAATAGAACAGCGGGGCAATTGGCTAACACCACCGAAGTAGTTGTTGATGTGAAGCATTAAAGACGACCCATAAAAGATCTGGTCCAGAAACTCAGAACCTCACCTTACAAGAGTTTTTTTTCTTTAAAAAAAATTAAAAAAATTCAAAGAATAATATTTTGATTTTTGGAATTTTTTAAAAATTGAGTTACTTTTAAAGTTAAAAAAATTTGCTTTTATTTTAAAATTATTTAGTTATAGACAAATAGCAATGGAAGTCTCAGCCCAATGTATTCAAAGATATGGAGAGTGAATACACAAAAGTCGTATGTTTAATCCTGAGTGATTATATTTTTTTTTAATTCAATTTTAAATTCTTGTTGTTTAATTTGTAATATATTTCTAAAACTTGTGTGGAATTGTTTTGTGTAAAATATGTAATACTTTTTAGTAAAAGTGTGATAGGAAATGCAAAAAGAGAGACTGAGATACTCTTTCTCGGAGTAGTTGTTATAATTATTTGGACTTAGTATTATTAATTGTTAATAATAATAATTTTAATGTTTATGATTATTTAGATTAGAAAATACAATAGCATCAATTTTTATGATTGTTGTTAGTGTTTAGACGTATTCTCGTGTGAATTATATTGTTGAATGGTTCCAATCGCATCCCAAGAAGTAATAGATAGGAGCAACAAAGAGAAAGACGAGAGAAAAAGAAAGAAGAAGAAGCAAGTTAAGTCAGAAACTTCAAACCCCACTTTCATTAGACAACTTCAAATATATATATATATATATATATATATATATATTGTACTTTATTTTTTGTATAAGCCACGAATGGTAATTCAAGTTTCCAGGCCAGGGTATAATAAAATTGCGGTGAACGTGGATCGAACACGTGACCTTCAGATCTTCAGTCTGACGCTCTCCCAACTGAGCTATCCCAGCTTTTAAAACGACATTCATTCTAGAACTAATATGCATAAGACTGCTTACAAAATCGCTTTACCACATTTGTACAGATGGAATGTGATGGGAGGAATTTAAAATTTGATAATAAATGGGTTGGGTTGATATATTAATTTTGGACTTGATTTGGATTCAATAATCAATTAATTATGTTAATTAAATTAATGTTTAATTCGATTTCGACCAATTAATTATACGTTGAGGGCATACAGGGACAAATTATTGTTTGGATCACAGTCCACATAGTTGTGTAAGAATACAAGACACATTTTTAATATACTGAATGTACATTATTTTGATAGTATATAAAATAATGTATTTTACGCACATAACTACTGTGCTTTTTATTTATGGTTCAAACAGCGGTGTGGACTGTGGACCATGGTCCATGGCATAATGATTGGAACCGGCAAATTATACCATGGATCAGGGTCTACCTTGCATTGTAGACCCTAGTCCAAAAATAACCATCAAATTCTGTATCTGTATCTACAGTTGACACATTCTGTACTTGCAGTTTTTCTGTACCTATAGCTATCATATTATGTGTCAGCAATTATCAAGTCAGATTCTGTATCTATAGTTGACACATTTTATACCTACAGTTGATAGTTTCTGTACCTATAGCTATCATATTATGTGTTAGCAATTATCAAGTTATTTATTTACATGTATAGAAACGGTTAACTGTAAATACAGAATATGCTAACTGAATATACATAATTTTTGTATCAGGGTTCATAATGCAATATGAACCAACATTCATGGTATAACAATTGCTCAGTACCTCACCTTACGTGAATTTTTTTTTTCTTAAATAAATATTTTCAAAGAATAATATTTTGATTTTTGGTAATTTTTTTAAAAACGTCAGAAATTAGTTTTTATGGTTTCCGTCCGGAACCAATCTTTGGTTCCCGACGAAAACCATTGATATGGGTTTGTCTGAAGATGGAGCAGGCTGTGGTGGAAAATGACTTCTCCCAAAAAAGAGAAGTCATTTTTCAAAAAATTAGCTTTATTTTTTATCGACTAGAAATCAATTTCCATTGATTTTAGTATTTTCCCTATTGTCAAACACGGGAAACCCAAAAATTATTTTCATAAATCATTTTTCAACTTTTCAAACATACTCTTAATTGATCATCGGGGTTCGAATTGAAAAAAAGAATAAAATACATTAATTGTTGAATTTAAACTATTTTAAAAATAAAAAATCGAATTAAAAAAAGAAAAGTTTAACAAGCAGATCAAACTGGATCCAAAACCGTGAACAGACAATTCAAAATCAGAACCCAATCGTGGTCATATCTACTTATATGTGAAAATCATAATAAATACGATAAATAACATACACTATTTGCAAATATTATAATTCTAATTTGAAGTTAATGCTAGTAGTTGTTCCGATTTTAAACCGCCGATTCACGATTCAGGATCCAGTTTTTCTGATTCGCAATTTTAATAAATCAAAACCCAAATATTGGGTTCCAGTTTTGAACCATAACCAAAACCTTTCAATTCGGTTGCTACAATGTCCAGTTCGAGCCGAATCGAACCGTAATCATCCTTACATATAAGTATATAACTATATAAGTAATAATTTATTGGAGAAAAAAAAATGAATGAAATATTTATTTTAAGGGTAAAAATGTCCGTTTAATATATCAGGAGGAAGACCATCACTTTTAGAATAATTGAGGGGCTAATATGAATACATAAATAACTCAGGAAAAAAATGTTATTTTCTCTTTTGTTTTTAACCAAAAAAAATAAAAATAATAAACTCAATGCAAATAAACCTTAATCAAATCATAGGTTTACATATTGATTCTCGTTCCTTCCCATAATGAAAAATTCTATAATGTTTACCTAACGGTGTTATAATGTATTAAAAATATACTTTTTATTTATGATTCACACAACGGTATAAATTATGGTCTATGTAATAATGATTGATGCTTTCAGTTCTCTTTTTAGGGTTTAAATATTCAGTTGGTACCACATGAGCATTGCCTGTTTGTTCACATGCAAATTAAAAGGCATGGTTCCATTGTTAAGTTCCTCTCTTTTGTACTCAACAAGAGTCCATTTTGTTTAAGGTTTCTTGCAGGCTATGCATCTAACTTAAAGCTACAAAATGCTTATACCCCCACGCTGACTGTCCACTTTGGGCATAATCCCCACACTACCGCCATCGAGGTTCGAACTTTGATCTCTTCTCCCAAATACTGCCTACTGAACCATTGTGCTAAGTTCGTGCAAGCTGCTAGTCGTTTTTCTCATTTGTCTTCTAAATGGTTCCTACTAAACAAGAATTTTAGTAGCAATTAGCAAACAGATTATCATCAGCACAAGGTGGTCTGTGGCTTAAGGAACAATTTGCAGCAAAACATACAGCCAAGAAACGAATGATTACAGAAAGCTATACGAGAAAACGACCACTCAACAAAAGCCTTCTCTGGTTCAGAGAAACTACGAAAGCAAAAGAGAATATAAGGAGAGACAGCAGTTCCTATTTCCTTTTCAAGCACATCCAGTTACCCCCACCAATCACTTCTCGTTTGAAATTAAGCAACATGTGGGCTACCTTTTTTCTCTTTCGATCATTTTCTTATCCTTCAAGTGATCGAGAAGTTAAAGGTGTGGCAATGGCGGTGGGTGCTGGTTTCGTGAAGTATTTTTCAAAGGCTAACCTTTTTCTCTTGCTTTATCCATACTCCAACCTGGATTCTCAGGGGTCATGCAGTAATATTTTCTGGGCAGTGTCCTCACAGATGCTTCGTTTCTGTTCATTTGATATACAACATAACATCATTTTAATCAGAAAACTAATAATAAGATCCGATTGAAGAAGAAAACGGGAAAGAAATACCATAATGCCTTTTGGTCTAGTTACAGCATGGAACAAACGCAGGAGAAGCATGTCCGAGGGTCAGATCAATCCTTGTATGCATGTTTCTGCTTTCGCTTCATTATATTCATCTTTACAATTTTTACAATGCCATTGTTTCCTTCCAGGGGTATATAAACCTGCAGAAGATTGGCAAATTGAAGACCTGAATCCCCCTGCAAAAAGGCACCACCGATCATCAGTTTATACATTCAAAGAAATGGAGGAGGCAACAAATTCTTTCAGCGATGAAAATCTGCTTGGTAAAGGAGGATTTGGTCGAGTTTACAAGGGAACACTCCGATCTGGAGAAGTATGTTATCACTCACCATTCTGTGTGTGTGTGTGTGTGTGTGTGTGTGTGGATACATATATAAACAAGATTTTGAATTTTTGATAGACAGTTAATAATAACATAGTTTTCTTGGAACCCAAAGATTGTAGCAATCAAGAAGATGGATCTACGACGCCCATTCAAAGAAGTGGAAGGGGAGAGAGAGTTTCGCGTGGAAGTAGATATCTTAAGTAGACTGGACCACCCGAATCTGGTTTCTTTAATAGGCTATTGTGCAGATGGGAAACATAGATTTCTCGTGTATGAATACATGCAAAACGGAAACCTTCAAGACCACTTAAATGGTTGGTTTTTGGCTCAAGTTTTGTTCACCAGCTAAAGTCTCTGTATTTAACTCTTAGAACTGGACTGCAGGAATAGGAGAAGGGAAGAAGATGGACTGGCCTTCGAGACTAAAGGTGGCTCTCGGGGCAGCAAGAGGACTCGCATATCTCCATTCGAATTCTGCTGTTGGGATGCCGATTCTTCACAGGGACTTCAAATCTACCAACATACTTCTAAACACCAACTATGAAGCTAAGGTAAACGATGAAATGGTGTTGTTTTAATTGTTTTAATTGAAGCATGTGCTCCATCCACGCCCCCTCACGTGTGCTCTGATACCAAATTGAAGCATGTGCTCCATTTCAACTAAAAGCCTAAGCTGATAGTTGGATTGCACATTAATGGTTATATGCAGTTTTTACATAGTACTCCTATTATCATCACTGCTATCTTTGCAGATATCCGATTTTGGGCTAGCTAAGATGATGCCAGAAGGGCAGGAAATTTGTGTGACAGCAAGAGTTTTTGGCACTTTCGGCTACTTTGATCCCGAGTATACATTGGTATGACTAAACATTCCAAGAAAACACCCTTTCTTTTCCACTTCCTTATGAACTTAATGTCATTATACCTACAATCTCGCAAGATTTTGCTTCCTAACACACACCAAACAGACAGGAAAACTCACTTTACAAAGTGATGTTTATGCTTTTGGTGTTGTTCTACTTGAGCTATTGACGGGACGAAGGGCAGTAGACCTCAATCTTGGTCCAAACGATCAGAATTTGGTACTACAGGTAACCTTTATCACCCTTCTAATAGGCTCTACAACACTAAGAATCGGTTTTTCAAGAACCAAGTGAAAAAACGGATGATTTGGATTGAAACAGGTGAGGCACATTTTGAATGACAAGAAGAAACTACGTAAAGTGATTGACCCCGAGATGAGCAAGAGTTCATACACAATGGAGTCTGTCACCGTGTTTGCAAACCTAGCATCACGATGTACCCGAATCAATAGTAGTGAAAGGCCATCAATGGTAGAATGTGTAGAAGAACTCCAACAGATTCTATATACAAATACGAGAGGAATCAGATGGACTATGCATGGTTTCAGAATGATTTGAGGAATCGTAACATCAAAATTTATTTGTTCATGATCCGAGATCCCAAGTCACAAAGTTTATAACTTGGCAATAGAATAAACTACCCTATGCATCAACTAGAATACCATGACTTTTCATGATAACTTAAAAATACTTAGAATATATGTGTAAAGAAAAAGTATTTTAAGGTCACAAATGAATTACCTTATTCTCAAGTAGTGTTGATTTTCTATCCTAATGTAATTGTAGATACAAAACATCCTTGTAGATATCATCATTTCTTACATTTTCAGAATAATAGTCGAAGAAACACTTTATTGTTTGATTCATCTTCTTTACTTTCCCAAATCAATTAATTTGATGGTTTTAAAAGATAAAACCACAAACACATATAGCATTTACTGAAGAATGGAAGAACATACCGTAGGACTTTATCCTCTGGTTTGTAGGGCAAGGTCTTAGAACAAGCCCCAAACTTGTCCCATTCCCCTTCATAATGTACAATGGCCCCAACTTGTCAAATACCCATTCCCCATTTGTATAGTCACATACACTTTCATCATCTTTATCTGCACAAGTAAGATCCAAGAGTTAAAATTATGGAATCTTGGAAAAATGAAATTTTTTTCAAATGGTAAAACAATTGTGTACCTTTTGGAGGGCTTAGGGAATGCAGGGGAGATGGAAATGTGGAATTGATGATAAAGGGGTGGTAGAAATACAAGAAAATGAAGACTAAGAGCATCTTCAACCCATCTATCTCCAAAACACTAAATTTTTTCAACAAATGTTACATCAGAAGGAATATTCTCACACCAAATTTTATTTATCTTCAACCTATTTACACCAAAACACCAAACTTTTACACTAAAATAATTTAATTTTTCAATTATTAGTTCGAATTTAGTTAGTTTAATATAATTTAGTTACAACTTAATTAGTTTAATATAAAATATAATTTATAATGTAAATAATAATTTTAATTAACATTAATTTTTTTATAACATTAATTATTTTAAAAAATCAAATTTAACAATATTTTTGAAAATTTAATTTATTCCACAATAATAATACAACATACAACATCTAATACATTTTATTATGTTCTAATTATGTTTAATGTATTTGAGATTTTAATTAATATACATTCAATATTAGTCTTGTTTCGATCGTCTCAATGAGATCTTTCAAATGCTATAATTTATATTTAATAATACAAACTTTAATATAAGTATTTAACAAAACAAAAAATTACATATAAAATAAATAAATGATATATTTATAATTAGAAAAAGAAAGAAGGGCAAAAGAATCAATTTTCTCTCCCTTCTCCATTTGCCGTGAATGAACAGTGTCACGCCAAATATGACGTTCATTAACGCCAAAAAGAATGGCGTTATAGCGATATGGCGCTCCATCTTGGAGTGGCAAAAGTTGCTACTTTGCTGATTTGGCGTTGGAATATGGCGTTATGCCTCCCACATTGGAGATGCTCTAAAGGAAGTAATGCACACAATGGCCAAGGGAATGAGTTATTTTGCAAAAGGAAGTAATGCACACAATGGCCAAGGAAAATTCCAAAATGGTTTTTGTAAGACTATAAAATGCACTATTTTTTAGAAATAGATATATTCCATCCAGGGGCGAAGCTAGAAATTTCATCTAGTGGGACGAAAGATTAAAATAAATGGAATATTTTGGAAAAACAATTAATCAAGTAAGGAAATTCAATCTTTTGACCTCTATTACAACTCAACTGAACATAAACCACAGAGGCTAGACCTTTCACCTCTATGACCAGACATACTATTATTTATACTTAACCATCTAAGCACTTCATCTTTAAGTAATATATATCTATATTATTTAGTTATATCTAAACAGTTAGTACATAACTACATATATACAAGGGTCCCTAATATATAAGGGGTGACGTGGGGTGGGGAAGGGGGGTAGCTGCCCCCACTGCCCCCATACTGGCTCCGCCCATAATTCCATCATTTAATAGTGCATTTTATAGTCTTAGAATTTAGAAAAACTATTTTGGAATTTTCTTTTACAATAATAAATTGAATAAAGGAGTTCCAAGATATGTCATAGGGATTGTAAGAGGACGTAAATTACGGATATGCCTCAATAAAATTGTATCCAAAATATCATATATGTTTAAACCTTAAACTAACTCAAGAATTGTGAGATGAAGTAAATCACAGAATGCGTCCCAGAGAGGCATGACCTGAGTTCTTGTTTTTTGTCATAAAATTGAGATCATATCTTCTCATTGAGAATTTAAACTTTAAATATTTACTGAGTCACTACACTACCAGCTTGAGGGCTTGCAAAGTATCATATGAAATTAGGAAGCATTGAGTCAATATATTAATAGAAATATATGAAAAAAAAAAAAAACAAGAATATAATTTGATTGGAAAATCAGATTTACAAATTACAACTGTGCCTGCTATGCAGCACGCCAGCACTGCATCCAGTCAGCTGCAAAAACTTTACCAGATTTTGAAAAGACCGGACGAATAGTTTCTCAGTAGTACAAAAAAGTTTTATGCAGATAATCTGTGCCACGTGTCAGTAATATGCGCTTGAATTGCGTGGACCCTGAGTATATAGAAAACGAAAAATAACAAGTGTCCGGTATGAATAAAATCTTTGCCAATCATGTTATTTTTATCACTTATTACTCACCTTATAATATAATAATTGTTATAAATATATCATTATGCGAACATTATTATAGATTATATAACAGTTGTAACGGTTATTGTATTTATGTCTCTATTATATTCTCCGTTACGTTTGTATTCTATATATAGAGATGTTGTGATTGTATGATAACATACTGATGAATAAATAAGAGATTTTTCATTTTCTCCCTTATCTCTCTATTATGTTTTTCATTTTAACACATTTTCTTGCTTATCTCTCTATTCTGTTTTTCCTTTTCACAATAATATAATTTTTATTCATTAATTATTGAGAATCGATTGACCCAATTTAGTGTTAAAATTTAAAAATTAATTATTAATCAAATATAAAAAGAATCAATGAATCAATCAAATATTATCTAAAATTGTAAACAAAAATATAACATTAGACCATATGCATCTCAATAATAAGATGGGATTGTAGTCTTACATGGCTTTGCCACATAATTTTTTTTATATATAAAAAATTGAATATTCATTTGGCATGAAAGATTTACAAATTAAGTATACTATACCCAACCAAATGTATGGCCTCACCTTGTTTTAATTAAACCAAACTGAAACCATTCGATTTATAAGATATAAAATCGATTGGTTTTAATAATAAACCAAAATTTAACTGTTCAGTTCTCTTTCGGCTCGACTTAGCTTGGCTCATATTACCCGAACCAAAATGGCCACCCTCAATTTTGACAATCAAATAAAAGTTATGATATGTGACAATTTTTTTTAAAAATATGATTAAATATGACAATAATAAAATAGTTAAGGACTAAAAGTAAAATTTGGTCAATTGTTATAACTCATGAGTCCTGACAAGATTTTTTTTTTTTTTTTTTGACACTCATAATTCTTTACAATAATATATATTTTATGCCCGCATGGGCAGCTCAACTGGTTATAGAGGTGCAAAAGTTAAAAAGAATAACTAAGGATCGAGTTTCACCAGCCACAGTGTAGGAACAACCTCTCAAAGTGAGGGGCTCCTTGTGCCCTTAGAGTAATATTTATACTAAATTACTTTAATAGTGATTATGTGTTAGTTTTTGATAAGCAAGTTGGTACATATTTCAATAGTAATATAAACAATTGTGTTATTCACCAAAAAAATAAAATAAACAATTGTGTTAAATGGAGAGATACTTAACTTACCCAATTACCATTTCTAGCCCGTAGGTCAGGAGTGATATTTTTGGCAAATTTTACTGTGGACCAAGTTCTAATGTTCTATATAGCAGCGTAAATTATGAAGTAAGTATCATTCTAATTACACTTAAGTTTCTTTTGATAATATTATTTTATTTTTAGTTTTATTTTTCACACAACCATACATACTAGTTTCATTATAGCAATATCAAAATATCTTCTTTTTTTTTTTTGAAAACACAAAAATATCATTTTAATTCCACTACAATTTATTTGACAATATGCATTATTGCATGAACACTATTTTTAGTTTCATCTACCCCACACTATAATTTAATTATAGTAATGCTAAAGTATAATTTTAATTACACTTCAAGTTCACTTGACAATATATGTTATTGTATGAATTCTGAATTTTAGTTTTATTTTTTCACACACATTAGTTTCACTATAGCAAGATTAAAATATTATTTTAATTATACTATAATTTCTACTGATTCTATTACAATGTAATATCTGAGGTTCAAATTCACAACCTCTCATATGGGAGTCCAACCCGGGTGCCATTAGACCACAAGATCTTAGCTACTATAGTATCATTTTAATTCAACTATAGTTTCATTTGACGACCGTGATCTACACAACGTTGTGTGGATCTTAGTCGACTGTATAACAATTGGATATTTTTAATTAATTTGTACATAAATTATAGATTATAGAGTCAAATAGACCCATAAACATTATACGAAAGAACGATTAGGCTTCCAAACTAAAAAAAAAATAATAATAATTAAACACTTCAACTTATTAAAATCATTCATAATTATCAGTAATCGTCAAGTTACCAATCAAATTTCGATGATACACCTCCTTCCTTTAAGCTACTGTTAATTGTGACACACCTCCTTCCTTTAGAAAAAATGCGACCACTGGTTGCATTCTCCAATCGACGAAGAAGGCTATCAGACTGATTGCCTGTCAACTTCTCCGATCGATCTGGTCACCTTTTTCATTGACAATGGTGATCGACAACCGTTCGTTAATCGTCGGCTATTTAGTTGCTAGAACTTAATGACCGGTTATTCTAAGTGAATAATTTAGTATTGGGTCCAAATGTACCAAAATAACACGTTAGAGAGTTTAATTATTCTTTTTAAAATTTAGAGATTTAATCATATTTATT